AATTTATAAATGATTTGTAGATTTAGCTAGATATATTATTGACTTTTATCTGCATACCTTTTTGTCAATATTTTGCATGACAATTACATGTACTTTGTGTTTTTAAGGAGAAGAACATGTAATATAAGTTGTTAGAATGTGTTACTTATCCCTTTGCTTGCCAATAAAATATGTTCAAAACAATACAAACACAAGACGTTAATCTATATTTATTTTACAAAGCAAGGTTTTCTACTTCCTGTTTGTAAACGAGTTTTTTTTTTAAATTAGAAAAGTAAGAGCTCATACTTAGCTTTGAGGTGGTCATTAAAAAGAAAAAATAAATCTTCGATAAACTGAAGACGCTATTCTAATATTATATCCTGTTAAATAGCGTGTAGCCTGAAGTGTTTATATCCCAGTGGGATATTGACCCTTGATACTATTGACAATATTATGGAATATCCAAGTATTTATTTACACTATTTTGTTTAAGTGATTGGGAGTTTTACAAAGTACTTGAGATTTTTAAATCCGAAAGTTTACAGTACTTCAAAATTGTCAAAATAATCCATGACTCATTTCCTCCTAATATTCATCAAAATTGAACTATTATTTTTTTATACTTAATTTTCCTATAACATTGGAAAAAGATGTTTCTGTTTTTTGAAACATTGAATTAGTAATTACTCCTGAGCAAAACGGCATCCTTGTGTCTTTCTGACACATTTTCTTTTAATCAATAAAACATGTTAATAAATAAAAAATGTTTCAAAAAGACACTTGTTACAATAGCCTGCTAACGTGTATTACTGCTTTCAGAATTAAAAGTTATATTTATATCAATCGAAGACTTTAAAATTGTCATTTCAAAGCAAAGGAAGAACACCGGAAGATAATATAATATTAAGCATAATATATATTTTTAATAAATTAATATTTTAAAAAGGGCAATGGTATGGAATATTTTCAATATGGTTTAAAATCCCAACTTCTGGAAATTTTGGGGGGATAAAATCCTATTCATTCAAAGCTTAAAACAAATATAAATGAATAATTCAGTTTCTTTTATTTATGCCCGGTATTTCAATCAAAACGATTAAACAGTCATTATGTTTTTCAATGAATTGATTTCTTAATGATGAAAATATATATGCATTTAATACCTGTACATTCAACATTAGCGTGAATTTGATTCTTAAAAATAGACTTATTAATTATTTAATAAGTTTTTCAGTTATTAAAAAATAACGCTATCGCAGCATTTCAAGAATCTGCCTTCACTCTCCGTTTAAATATACAACAACACACTTAGCTATGTTGCACTTTGCCTCGAATGTGACTTTAATCATTTAAAATACTTGTAATTAATTATGTAATAATTTCAAATACTTGTAATTAATTATGCTATCATAAGTATAGATATCCGTTAAATAATTAATTAATAACTTTATGTGTCTCAAGAAATCACAACAAAAGGAAGCCAAATAATGAATATAATTGATAAGTAAACATTGATTAAATAATATGTGGCGTAACTGATTACATAATAATAAAAACCTTGTGGTATGAAACTGAAAATAAACATAAACAAATTCAAAACAAATAAGAGAAGATACTGACAGAATTAGACTACCTAGAGAGGGAAAATACGGCCTTTAGGGTGGAGGCGGCTTAAAATAATTTGAAACTATTCAATATACGAGGGCTGTTCAATAAATAATGTCCTGAACTATATGATATATATTACAGATATCATATGACATTAAACTTGTCTTTCTTTCATTATTGAATCTTTCATGAATTTATAACAGTTTATGTGACCACTTTTCATCACATAGTTTCATCGTGAGAACTGGGATTTTCAAGGGCATTTAAGTACACAATATAAATGAATGGCAAAGGAATACTTGCAATTGAGAGTGAACTTTTTTTCATTAAAGCTGCCAAAAACTTTGTTAAAACTGCAAAGAAATATTTACTGAAATATGTGACATTTACAAAACCAATGCCTGTTTTATAGACAAAAGAGCAGATGGATTCAATGATAAAAAATTATATTTTGCGTTAAAAATGGAATAGAACAAAATTTATAACAACTTTGTACTGTGTTAAAATCAAGGAAAATATTTGATGATATATGGGACTTTAAGACAAAGCAAATTTGATAGACATCACATCGGGGAAGTTTACACTGTATTTAAGAAATTATTGAGTAAAAAAAGTTTTACTGTAATACCTAATATTTTGAAAAATTTATATACAGGTACAAAATTCTTTTTTTAAAATATCAATACCACCAAAATTGTTTCATTTTTAGATTTTTAATTATCTATTGCTAATCTTTAAATTTTTTATGATGTCTTGATAAAAACGGAAATTTCAAGTTAACAGGTATGCAGAGCACAAATGACAGATTTATATGTAATTTTCTTAATCTTTAGTGGTATTGCTGTTCAAAATCGTATTTTTTAATATCTGGAGGAGTCTAGAAAGCACTTTTAGGCCAAATAATCAAAAGGTTTATTTGAGGAAGGACCCAGAATCAGGAATCCATAACATTGAATTTCTTCAAGACAGCGTCCAAACCTGCATGCCCTGAAGAGGTAAGGGGTTTTCGGGATAAACAGAAAGTTAATGTTTTTTCACATTAACAATATTCGCCAGATAGTTGACCTTTTGACTTGTTTCAATTTCCAAACTTGGAAAAACACCTTTCAGAAGGAAGAAACAAGACCGGGAAATCATTGGATCTGCCATTTTCCCAGTATACTAAGGGTCATACCCAAAAATGAGTTCTACAAACGATCAGAAATGGGATAAAACATTTATTTACTTAAAAGAGTAATTGTAAAACAAACATTGAAGAGCGTCTTTTGCTTCTTTCTGAGCACCGAGGGTTGAAACATGCTTGATAAAAACTGCATTGCATCGCTATCTGTGCAGGAGCTTTTAACCGCGAGATTTTCAGACATCTACTTGATGTCTTTATGACATAAATTTTGACAAAGCAAAATTGAGCAGTATATTTCTTTCAACTTTTACGTGAATGTGAACATTATGATTGCCTAGTATTTGTATTCGGTATGATGTGATGATTACTGCTCAAAGGTGGTAGGCCTAAATTTGTAGCCCTTCACCGGGTCTCCATATCAGTGAAATAAATAGTCCAATCAATCAATCAATCTTCATTTCCAAGAATCACTTGCAATTGTCAAAGCCAAAAACTTTCAAGAATAAAGTAAGCGCAATAAAAAAAGAATTCAAATGTTCTTTAATATACACTTATTTGAAAAATTCTACCAAAATCGAATTTTATTTTTAATTATCTATCAATCTTTAAAATTTTTATCGATTTATGATTGTTTGAAACTTACTTTAAATAGATGTCAGAGACAATGAGTGCATGTTTTAAAGTAAGTTTCAAAACATTTTCTTTACGTTCCCCGCTAACTGTCTTTTGTTTGTAGTCCACTTATTTAAATACAAGGTTATGCGTCTGAGATTCTGAAAATGTTCGTTATCTTTAATTGGAGAAAACTAAGATAAACTAAAGAAAGAAGGCCAGTTGAAAGGATTAAGTGGTTTAAAGTCAAATACATGCTGGAAAAGGGCATTCATCGCTCATGTTCAGGAGAGAGAAGCGCTGACATAAATCTGACGAGTTTATAAAGCAAAATTGAGCAATATATTTTTTTTTTCAACTTTTACGAGAATGTGACGATTATGATTGTCTAGCATTTTCATTCGTTATGATGTGATGATTACTAAGGTGGTAAGATAAATTCATACCCATGCTGTCACACTTATAACATCTCTTTCGGATGTGACCGTTTAAAAGCTAGAACAGAAATCAAACCGGTTTAAAGTCAAATACATATTATGAAATTTAATATTATACTCAGTTCTTGATAAGGATTCATTGCTGTATAACATAAGATTATTATTTGAATTTTCGTTATTTTTTTCATTTTTCATGGTGGTATTAGCATGGACTCCTTATAATAGAAGAAAGATTTTCCCAGAATTCCTTCTGCAAGGATGAATCTTCCGGTGGATAGTCAAGAAAATATTTTTCCTCTATAAAATCTTTTATAGCTGTGTCACAGCCCCCTTCAAACAAATCAGGCATCAGAATTAGATGGACATATCCTAAAGATCCTCTCTTATTTATTCCTTCCATTTTTGCCATATTTAATTCATATGTCCGCCATTTTGATTTGAGATACTCTTTTGACACAACACAAATAGTTCTGTTACTCCTGCTGATGGCTTTCATGATGTTGTCAATTTTAGAATTACCAATTTCGAAGTGAATATCACGAATTATTAACTTCAAACCTTTAGATTCTAATATTGGTTTCATCTTTTGGAATACGAACCCTCTATTTTTTCCGACATAGGATATAAAAGCATGAAAAGAATATTGCGGTTTAGCCGGGTTTTTATTATTGTATCTGCTTTGCTCATAGCTTTCTTTAGCTCCGGCACCCACTAAATCTGCATCATCAGGAAGATTATTAAAATCTTCTGGTCTCGTAGATGAACTTATAGAATCATTAAGTCGTTTACATTTATACAGGAAGTACCTTATGTGCCAGATGTTTTTCCGAAAGATTATTACAAGTATGACACTTGTAACAAGGGTGATTATAATAGTTGCTATGACAATCCATATGTTAAAATTCATACAATTTAGTTTAAGTCTTTTGAGAGATTGGTCCATTTTTTGAAAATCGAAATGATTGGTACGATCAGAACAAGTATAGTATTCAAGACCTAAAAAATGCATTCTGTTATTATACAACCATGTCAGGAATTCCAAATTTTCGCATCTACAATACAAGTTGTTGTTTTGAAGATTTATCAATACCTTTGATCTTTTGAATAGTTCAGTTAATGTAAGGATGGTATTATATGTGAAGCCCGTTAATCTGTTATCGGAGAGATCAAAATAAGAAAGCTTAGTCATGTGACTAATTCTAAAGTTAACTTCTCTCAGATGGTTGTGATTAACTCTTAGTATTTTTAGTTTCGCCATATTTTGAAAAGTGCAGTTTGGTAAATGAACAAGTTTGTTGTTTGATAAATCTATTTCCTCTACTTGTCGCAGATATTTAAATATTTGGCAACTACCGGTATCATTTTCAAGCGATTGTGACAATAAATTTCTAGCAATATTTAGGTATTTCAATGCTAAACAGCTTGCAAAGAAATATGGGGATATTCTGGAACAAAAATTATTCGATAAATCTATTTTTTCAACCAGTTGGAACCCAAATATAGGATTGTCCCATGAAAAAAGCAAATTGTTTTGTAAGTAGATATTTTTCAAACTCTTTGATTTCATGGCAAGTTTTGGAACCATTCCGTATAGTTTGCTTGAATTGGCATAGATTGTTTCAAGATTTGGAGGGATGAACACTGTGATATTTGACAAACGATTATACCTCTGTAAGCCTGAATATCCTTGGTTCTGACTTTTACTTGACTCAACTAAGACTGTAAAATCCTTCTTTTCATAGCATCTCTCAAAGAGATCCTGAGAATGTTTTGTAGGTCTTAAAAGCAACGTCATGTTAAATTCCTTCAATTTACGCAGAGAGGAAAATTCAAAAAGATATTTTCCTGTGGTGAGTCGGTTTAAAGCGAATGACAGCTTCTCAAGTGTTGGAGGCATATTTGGCAAAACACCACTGCCAATTAATTCCATTCTATTTTGTGCAAAAGAGGCCTCGATGATTTTTGTTTTACGCAAGTTTTTGATATGGGAAATTGTCATCATCGTTCCAACACCAAGTGAACAGTGTATATCATCTGCACGCAAAACTCTAATGGATGTTTCGTTCAAACCAAAGGTAATGTTCGGGAGAGAGGCAAATCCTAGTTCCTTATTGTGAGAAATATCAAGTTTTTCCAAGTGCTTAAGCAGTTTGAAGGGTCCTCTATCAACATTAGATATCTTACAAGCACTGATATCAATATCCCTCAGAAAAGGCGTATTCAAGAAGAAATCTTCAGATAAACTTTTAATATTACAAAAACCTGTTATTCCTGATATGTCAAGAATGGAAAAGTTTTGAAGTTGTTTGAATTCGACACCAAAACTAAAATTGAAAGGAATGTCAATTTTGAGTGTTTTTAACGAAACAAGTTTGGAAAAAGCACTGTCAATTGAACTTGAACTGAGGCTAATTTTTGAATTCATCTTAATGTTCAAAGATTCCAGTCGGCTCAGAGAAAGAAATAAGTTAGGGTAGTAAATGGATTCCGATAGCGTGAGATAATTTTGCTCCAGATCTAGATGTTTTAAAACTTCTAGTCCATTGAATGGATTACCTGGGAGAGCAGAAATATTGTTTCTTGACAAATTAATGAATTCGATTTTCTTTGGAAATCTCCAATGAAATTCTTTTATATTATTTTTACTTAAATCTATCCACACCGTATCCTCTGGAAGTGAGTTAATTTTAAATGTCTTGGTTAGTCGAGCACTGCAATCGATTTTTAAACCTTTTTTGAAATAGGTGCAGTTGCAGAAAGGACATAAATTCGATTTCTCTGTAACTGTCCATGCCTTCTCATAGTAATACATGTAGAAACATACATACAATATCCAGTGACAAGCATTCATGATTCATTTAACCTGTTTCGTTTTTCACTAAAGCATACCAATGCACACATTTTACCCACAAGAATGGTTATAAAATTTAAATTACATCGACACATTTTAATACCATTGTTTTTCTTCCTGGGTGATACATCTACCACAAAAATTGAATTTCTCTTGAAAGTCTTAATTAGATAATATATATGTATAAAAAATTTTGATCACTTTAAATAAGGATATATATTTTTTATAGCTTACAAGACAAGAATACGTACATGTATTTCTGATTACATTTATGTTAAAGTCGCCCACGTGGCAAAGTGGTTAGAGCATCTGCACTAGAGTAGCGAAGTAAGGAGGTTTAAAAAATTCTACTAAAATTGGAGTTTTATGAAGAGACTTACTTTTACATTTGACAGCAGACTTTTACATTTTAGTGATTAGAGTTTGTATATGTTTAAATTGTAAAAGTCAGTCGTCAATTGTAAAAGTAAGTCTCTTCATAAAACTCCGTTATCGGTATGTTGATATCGTTGATGGAGAGGTATGGCGCACGACAAAAAAATTGAAGCAAAAGCATGCGGATTCAAATATTTAACTCATTGATTTTCTAAAATTCGCGATATTTTTCAACAATTTTCTCAAATATACCTTTAAAGTGTTCTATTATTATGTATTTAGATTTCGGACGTAATATTTGAAGTACTAACAGGAATATAGTGATTTTTGTCTGATGCCATTCCCGTAAAAATGACGTCTCCTGAATTGACGGCGCACCACAATTTCGTTAAAATATGTGTAATGCTCGAGATATCAGCAACATAGATCCAAAATATGCATAATAAAACATGTAGTAAACTAGACTTCTCGTGACATTCGCCCACAAATAGCAAATTGAAATTTCAGACAGTTAGACCTCTGTAAAAAGGCTATACGGAAGGACGGGAAGAAGATTATAGACGAAAAGTTAACTTTATCTGGACTGTAAAGAACGGGATTGAGAGTCACTAATAACAGACTATATCTCATAAGTAGTTTTTGGTTTTAAAATTAAAAATAAAATATTCTTTACTTGTTTAATAGATTTTAAGCTTGACAAGAAATGGTGTTTTGATGTTAAGTAGATAAGGTAACTCAAACTATGCAGGTACTCAAGGGAAATTGTTGAGGAAATGAAAGCTCAATCACATATTTTTTTCTAATGCTTGTGACGTCGAAGATTTTGCTGCGCCGTGACTTAATGGTGTGTCCTGAAAAATCACTCAAAATTAATACCAATTTACAACATTTTGATATGAAATTTTGAAGACCATATAGGTAAAGATTCTTTTGTATTATTTGTGAAATTTTGCCAGATTATGTCGTCAAATATTTTATCAGTGCAACAAGTCCGCGTAATTTTTGAACGGCCCTCGTATAAGGTAACAATGCCTCTACACATCAACTGGACATTGTGTCCAGAAATCAGGTCAGTATATAGAACAAGTTAAAACTGTCTGTTTATCATCTGGGTAACAATGCCTCTTCACATCAACTGGACATTTTATCCAACTATTGACGTTTTGGAGGTCCAGAGTGTGCCAGAACTGAATATTTTGTAATTGAAATATCGATTTTTGGAGATTTGCAGTTCTATCAAAATCACATATTTGTCATATAACAAAATATATATTAAGATTAAATATTGCAGTTTTTATCATTTAAATATGCAGGAATTAATATCCACTATCAAACACATTTAAAGCTGGTCACACCTCCAACTGATAAGCTGGGGAAATTACTTATAATGTAATATGATGACCATTTTCTGTTACACAGAAAATAGAAACTAAAACTCTGCACATGTTTTTATTATTTATTTTCTCCGCTTTGATGACCACTTGCTTATATAGGCTCCATATTTTAATTAAAAAATTAAATGTTTTCTTTTTATAGTTTTTTTCCCTTTAGTCTTCAGGGGCCAGTGGTTGAATGAAGTAGAAGTATGTTCTCTGTTTACATTTTCTTTCCAATGCAAAGTTCCAAGGAAAGCACGCACTTTATATTGTTCACTTCCAAATGCTATTCGTTTGTCTTGATAAATATTTAATGCATTATTGAAACTCTTCACAAAGTATGTATCTCTTCCTAAATTAAAATGGTCTGGATTTTTATAAAGATTTGAATTTATTATAACACTTCTGAGTAATTTTACTGCCACTGGATTTTCAATTACAACCTTTGAAGGTTCATAATTTGGATCTCATTAATTACACCCAGGACTGAAGTGACATTGTTTGTGGCTGTTCTGGTAATGGTCTACAATATCCCTAATAGTTCTCAAAGTAGCTGAATTACCATCACAATGCTTTTTTGACTGTAAAAATGTGTTGCTACAGGCTCCTGGATTTTATCAATATTCTGGTATATTGTGATTTTTTTTATTGTGTGATATGTTTGACAAAAGTTTATATCCATCCCTAAATTTTTTAACACTTCTGTGATGGGATGCCAAAGAGCGGTTTTGATTGCATGTAAAACCCGGGCCCCCTGAAACTCCAAATTTGTTGACTGAGCTATTCTGGTCACCGTGGGTATGTACATTCACAGAAATGTCTACATTGTCAAAATCTTTATAAATTTTTGGCCCTCCAAAGACTATCTCATGTCATTTGGAAACAGGTCTTTCCTCTGCTTTCCAGGGCATGGGGCACCAATTCAGTACTTTATGGGATCTTTCCCCAATAGCAACAACACTGGTATCTTGTGATTTTTTCTGGGCCCCCTATGACTCGGTGCATCTACCAAATGTCTATTCCACCGGTTTTCGACCCATAATCCACACTTCTTCTAAAATAGCATGTACATCAAAAAATCCTCATATTCTTCTTTTACAAATTGTTTATACATTTTGAAAAATGTAGTTGATTCTCTACAGAAAGAATTCCAAGACCTGCAGCATTTTAGAATTGGGAATAATGAGTAGGTAACATTCCGCTGCATAGAAATGCATTGTTGACTCTTTGTGAACAACCTTTTCCCTTTGCACAGGTGTGTATGGAGAAGGTGCCCAAATATAGGAATGACACAAAACAATGTTCCAGGTACATATTAATTTTAACGAATGCACATGACTTCTCTTAGTGACTTTTTTGATTTCTAAAATTCCTTGTGAGTATTTGTATGGGTTGCTGAAATATCCATCAAAATTGATTGATTGATAGATTGCATTGATGTTACAAAAAAGTTTATAAAACTTGACTCTTCTTTACTTTGGTATAAGTTGATAATTTGAAAAGGACTATATTCTGTAAGGACCAATATTTGCCCCCCCCATCCAGCAATGATTCCATTATGATGTTGTTGACAGGTCTATAATTCTGACTGACCAAAACCTCCAGCTATACTTTCTGAAGACTTTAAAACATTTCTTGCTTTTTTCCTTCAGTAATTGGCATCTCAAACTTGAAATTGGCAGGCCGTTTTCGCTTGGTTTCTGTCATTTTCTTCACTTTTTATGACTATTATTTGACTTTCTATATTCTTTCAATGTTTACTTGCTTATCTTCTTGTAATAATATATCAAATGTTACTTGTTTTTGTGTGTTTTCTGATATCATCACTAGGCCACTATTTTTTGTGATGTAACAGGATACAGTCATATTTCTCATTTTCAAAAGAATTAATTGATGACTGGCAAAATTTTTAAAAAGTTTGCTTCATGATGAAACTGATATTAGAATTGCAAAATCTTGCGTTTGAAATTATGTGTATTTATGCAATTAAATATTTATAATCTGAATTTACCCTTTGTCTATTATCAAATTGAATAGACCAGTTACAATGTAACATGTAAAGCTGAAATATTTTCACAGTGGGGAGGCACTCCCTGCATCCCGCCAAATGTCAGTAAATATACAAGTCAGCACACCTCCCATGATGGACCCTCAGGGGTCAAAGGATTTGATGCAAGAAAACCCCAGATATTCCCAGATAGCACAAAACATTTTCAAAACATTTTATTGGTGTTGTAAAAAGGTTTTTTCGAAACATTTGACTAAACATTTTAAAAATGTTTTTAAAACATTTGCCTCTTCTCATTATAACATTTTAAAAACATTTTTAAAATGTTTTCAAAAAGCTTATGATTAAATCCTTTTGGAACATTTTTCTAAAACATTTTTAAAACGTTTTAAAAATGTTTCAAAAGGCATTTTGAGCTTTCAAATATCAAAGATTTTTATATTACGTTTTAAAAACGTTCTAAAAACATAAAATGAAACATTCCTTTTCCATAAATCTGAAACATTGCATGAATACGTTTCTAGAACATTTGGAAGGAAAGTTGTCAAAATGTTTTCGAAACATTCTTAATTCATTTAAGGGTATTTATAGCTTCCAAATATTAAAGATCTTATAAAACGTTTTAAAAACGTTCTTAAAAGAAATGAAACATTCTTTTTGTGTAAGTCGGAAACATTGCATACACGTTTCTGAAACATTTGTAAGGAACATTTTAAAAATATTTTTAAAACATTCTTAATATCGCTGTTAGTTAAAAACATTCAATTAAGGATATTTTTAGGGATAAGCAGTGAAAATGTTTATTTAAAACATCAACTAAAATAATTATTTTCACTACAATTGAAAAATTTTAATTATAGTTTTTGTAACATTTTTTGGAAACATTTTCAAAATGTTTTTGAATCATTCATGTAATTGCGGCACAATTTAATTCATTTAGTAACTTTAAGAGTATGTTGTGAGAATTATCTAAGAACATTAATTTAATGTGTTTTCTTTTTTTAAAGACTTAATTTTTCATTGCCGCTGTTATTTTCAAAATGTTCTTAAAACATTCAAATATTAATGTATGATTGCGATTTTCCTAAAATTTAGTTTATGAAGAAAAAAAAGAATATATAGAAAGAACAGTGTTAAAATGAGGAATTGTAGAATTTTTTTAATTGAAAGATTTTTTCCGGTATTTTATAATGATTTCTAGTTTTGGCTTATTGACTAAACAGACATAATTTATATAAAGTCCTTTGATTAAACAAATCAAAAAATCAATAAATGAAAGGATATGCAAGCAAAAAAAAAATATATAAATAAATGTATAAAATCATAAGCATTAAATAAAACTCTTAAATGTCTTTTTAAAAAAAATGTTCTTCATCAAATCTGTGATCCACTCCCAGAATTTTACTCTGAGGCATTACATAGGGATTGGCACACTGGTCAGTTTCAGTGTCATGAAAACCTATTATGCAATTCTCCTGCTGGGCAGCGCGTTACAGAGTATAGTGGTTTGCTGCTTATCTAGGCCAAATTTTGAATTCTGTTCAACAAGAATGAAGATGTGCGCGCTTACTCCGTACTGATTTGAATGAGAAGACTTCGCACCATATAAACCACAATAATAACCTCGGGATTTATTAACTTTGAATGGTAAGAATTATTCCTTTATTAAAGACTTTAAAAGATCATTTAAAAACGACTTTTATACTACCAGTGCATGATCAATAACTTTGTACAAATGTATGTAGCAATGACAAAGCGTTAAGATTATATAAATATTTGATTTGAATATTTCATTCTTAAGGCAATACAATTATATCCTTAATTCAAGTATTTGTTGTCTTTGTGAAATGTTAATCATCAAACAATATGTTGATTTAAAAATGAAATGTCTTTACAGCATGGTGTTGGTTGCATCATCCGTATTTTCAAATTCCCACATTCAAAAGACCCGCCTTTGGTGAAGGCAAAGGTGTACGTAAATACTATTACTCCTCAATAATATTGTCATAGTAATTATTTTTCTGCTTTTTTCAATGCAAATGAGGAAAGAACTTAAATTTGATATAATTATTTAAAATATTTTTTGTATATTTTCGTTGATCATCTTAAGATACATTAGATGTAGAACGCTGATGATACAAACACAATTTTCCTTATCTTTACAGGTTGTGCTATTCTTTCCGAGGTGCAGATTCCTTATCAGCCTTTTCAGTGTATGTGATTCTAACTAAGTTTTATAGATCCGCCACTCTGTTCGACCGATAGAGTGAACATAGGATTTCTGTGATACTGTTCTTTTAAAATTCAGTGAATGGATTAGACGCCGTTTTCAACCTTTAACAACCCGGTGACTTGAAAGAAAATAAATTAAAACTTGTACCGAGAATGGAATTTAAATGTGATTAACATATTGAATATGGGTTTGTATTAAAGGTTCAAAAATTAAATATAATTTGTGTTTATTTCTTTTAGAATATAAATATATCATTATTTAATGAGAAAAAGTAAAAATTCAGGAAAAATACTTTTGTAACCTCGACTTTAATGTTTTGAAAACGTTTTAAAAACCGAACAATTTAATCGTGAATAAGACATTTTTGAAAATGTTTTTGTTACATTTAAAAACAATGTTATTATAACAATTGTTGAAATATTTTGTAAAATGTTTTAAAAACATTTAAAAAACCATACAAAATCACGTGATTAAAACATTGTTGAAAAATGTTTTTGTAACATTTTAAGAAAATGTTCCGGAAACATTTGCTGAAATATTTCACTAAAATGTTTTAAAAACGTTTAAAAAACCATATAAATTCACGTGATTAAAACATTTTTGAAAATGTTTTTGCAACATTTTAAGAAAATGTTCTGACAACATTTTGCTGAAATATTTCACTAAAATGTTTTAAAAACGTTTAAAAAACCATACAAAATCACGTGATTAAAACATTTTTAAAAATGTTTTCGCAACATTTTGAAAATGTTTTTAAAACATTTTAAAAATGTTTTTGTGTTAGCTTGGTTATTATTGTATTTAATAGATTGTCATTGTATATATTTTATAACAATTTTGATGCCAAAAAAAAAAAATAAAGTTTTAAATTTTACAAAAGTGACCAAATAGACAACAACATGTTTATAAACCTCTTTTGGTGCCCCATGCCCTAAAATTTTCCCTCCAATTCCAGCTATCGTTCTTATAGCAAAATGGAGGAAAATGAGGACACAAATGTTATTTCTTTGAGAGTGAATCCTGAGCAAAGGGAAACAATTATTCAGTTTATTAATTTTAATGAATGGGGATTAGATGAAATGTTATGCGAAGGGGATACTAGGCCTATTGAAAATCAAAACACCAGTAATGAAGACTTTGAGAGGACATTCCGTATCCCACAGAATGAAAACTGTGATGAATGTCAACAGTGTTTTTGCAAAACCTGCATAACAGATGAGAAAAACACACAGATGTGTTGGCCTTCTGAAGCAGTGTTACCGGACAGAAGAAACAGCTCCTTCCGGAAGCAAAAGTATAAGTATTTTTGGACAATGCTCTTTCACAGAGGTGTTTTTCATGATGCCCGATACAAAGAAAGGAAACTTATCGCGCTGCAGTCAGACCCTCGATTGAAAAATGTTGCAAGCCATCGTAGGGACATTCTACCAGAATGTGTTGTTGATCTTGTCAAATTTTGGTAATTTTTGTTTTTGTGAGAATTACATTTGTTTGCAGCTTCATATACTCTACAAGTCTTATCTGTTGAATGGAGTGCTTATGTGCTAATTACTTGTACTCTGCGCTGTGAACAGCGGTCAGTTGATAACAGCCTGAAACAGCAGGATGTACTTTTATCTGTTCTTGTTTACATACAGTGTGTTCTTTATCTCTTCATCAAATAATAGGAATTAATGGACTTTTCTTTCTCTTTGCTGAGGTAAGAGAATTAGGCATAATCATATAAAAAGAAGCCATTTTGAATGCGTCCATAGAGATTAGAGCTTCCGGTGTAAATACAAACAGAGCTTTGCTAGCCGTCAATCAAAACAGGCAGATTTTGAAAATCAGTGTCACTTCAGAATTTCAATTGATAAATTCACCTGTTTTAGAAACATTTGAAATATATTCTATGCATTTTCTTTCGCAGAATAGTAAACTTTATTTACATAACAACTATCTCAAAATGATAATTGGTGCTATAAGTATGAATTCAAAACAATATCCCCTGAAGCAAAGAGTGGCAAGAAAATTGAAATTTCCACCATTTTCCTGATTGGCTGCTATTTATACCTCAGAACCGGGCTTTAACTCTTGTGAAATATAACAAAGACAGTAGAAATTCTAGTGGGCAAATCAGACACTTCAATTAATATTTGCAAATAAAGGACTGAAGATTGAATCCTTAAATCTTTTAAAGAGAGAAAAACCTCTGCAGTTAAAAGTCATAAAATTGTGCACGTATTATTCATTTTTCAAAAATGAAAATATATTATGATTAATAATCCTGATATACATGTTATATAATGTTTGGACTCGTAGAGCAGGTGTAATTATATATATGAGGGTTTGTGCTTGTAAGAGATTGAGGGTGAAGGAGGGTTGGAGAGAGAGAGAGAGAGAGAGAGAGAGAGAGAGAGAGAGAGAGAGAGTGTGTGAGGGTGTAAAGAAGGGTGAGGGTGTGTGTGTGTTAGAAAAATACCTTTCAAATGCGGAATGCCGCTATTCTCTCCCAAGAACTCAAGTAAAGCCAAGTAAAAAACGTGACAATCATTTTCCTTTTCAGGCGAGAATGTTGAATCCCTTAAAAATAATCATTCAAAAAGTATTTTCTTTATATCTCCTAAACATAAGAGTAAGAAAAGGTGCATTTTTAATCGTTGTATTTTTTACAGTCACTACATAAAATTATTTCTAAACAGGGATCTTTGGGAACACGCTAGCAATATAAAACTAAATATAGGAAACAGAAAATTTCAGATCTAAAGTTTTGTTACGGTTCCGTAATTATTCCCGTTACTACGAGTAACATTTTCTGTGAAAATATAGAGTACAAGTTAAACAAAAACTCCCCGTTATATACTGGTCCATAAAATGACAAATTAATGTTTAATTAATTGTATGTTTAATTTCATCAACAACATTGTATTTACCAAGTGTAAAACTGGGACGAGGTCGGTAATTAGTGACGCCCGAATTTCCTCGACATCTTGCATTCCCAAGTCACGCTTGAACTGTTTATGATTGTTTTATTTATGCTTACGAAGTCCATCAGCGATAAGTATTATGAATGTTTCCCACAATAATTATCCGCGCCCTAGGGTGCGTGTATCCTTTCGACGGTTCGATCGGCATGGCAGCATATCAACTAACAAGCATGGCGGGTATTTTCACTTTGTCGTGACGTCACGACAATCGAGCCCGATGCCAATATAAGCCAGCGCAAATCGACTGACAGTCAGAATGGGTTTAGGATAGGATAGAGTAGGTTAGATCATCGCATCGCCAGCATGGCTGGGAGCGATATCGATGGGTAATTACTGTAACATAATTAATTACTAATTTTTGGGAGCTGATGAATTTTGTATCATATTTTATTATTACTTTTTACTATTTATATTGAATTAGCCTGTTGGAGAAAATTAGTGGGAGGTAAAATAACTCTCCCATAACTATACCTGACTAGAATATAATTGTTTGGCAAAGAACAATATTTTGGGAAAAGATAAATACTTTTATGCTTTTGTAAATTTATATAAACAATCCCTTAAAACAGAATTCTCCCATGTAAAAATATTTTATTCCCATTCTGGGAGAGAAACAATATTTCAACGGGAGTGAGAAATAATTATTCAAAGAGATTGTGCAAATTAAATACAACAAGCAATAATAAATTTTTGAAAACTTTAATCCTGACTCATAGTTCTTTTGTCCAATATACAGAATTGGGAGACCCACAAGTTGTCTCAAGGGAGAAAACCCCTGAACGGCAACAGTTTCATAACCTTTTCTCAACAAAAACAGTCGCCCCTGTGGAGCAGTGGTTAGAGAGGCTGCTCTAGAGTCGCGAAGTAAGGAGTCAATTCTTACGTCGAGGGTTCGAATCCCACTGCGGGACGTGGAGACCGGTCCTTCGGATGAGACCGTGTAAACCGAGGTCCTTTGTCGCAGTACGCGGGTATGTTAAGAAAGCATATGTCATTTTCGGAAAATTTAGACTTTTTAAAGAAAATTAAGTTTGATAATTAACCCAACCAGCCTAGCAATTAAAAACTTTTATTATCTATTGTGTAAAGATAAAAGAGTGCCTAACGCTGCAACGAGCAGAGCAATACAATCACGGTATCACTTGATTCTAAAAATAGCAAAATCTTCCTCAATAAAAAAGCTAACAGAACAACATTACCCCGGGGTGAAATAATTGCTAAGAGTGAATAATGTACTTGGAAAACACCTATTTTGCCCACAAAGTGCTGGTAGAGTCCCATTGTCCCTTCAGTAAAATAATTATTCAACACATTCGCACGAAACCTATAGCTTAGCCGATAATTTGATTTTTTTACATATGAAATGAGATTTTTTTGTAAAACTTTTTGTACTACTTTACTCGGGATTCTAGCAGCAATTTCCAAATATTTTAGGAGGCAAACTTTCCATCTCGGCAAATCGTATGCTTATTGTTGTTCTGGTGCATTATTTTTTTCACAAATGACAAAGGAAGTGTCGAACGGGATACGGTTACAGTTGACTGTCTTTGAAAGAGAATGTTATCTATGAAAATAAATTAGCATGCCTGTTTCATTGACTGAACTCTATTTGAATATCACAAAATATTTACGTTATTTGTTTTAAAACTCCATTTTTTGTATATTTGTACATGCCGTCTTAGCCAAATTCTCTTTACACGATAGGATCAATTTCGAAGATATTTGATGTATCCATATGACAGAATCAGAATCAGAATCAGAAAATTTTATTTTAAGTCGGATTTTTATAACAGAAACATAAGCTCTGTAGAGATTTTGACCGACATTATATTAGTACTACATATCTGACGTCATAGGTTGTCGATTTTAATCAAAATGACAGCATACAGTATTACAAAAAAAGAACATTTCATTTCTGTTAATGTTTACACGTTTCTTTTCATTTTCATTTTTTACATCACTAAATACCAATATTACGAAAACTTGTGTTCTAAAATTTTCATCTAAATCATGTCGCACCCTATAAACTATGAAGTTATAATGTAGCACTGAGTTAGTCAAGGTAAAATATTTTGTATGTTTCCTTATTCCCCCTGCGTAGGTGCAAGCACAAAAAAGGTCCCTCACTGCTCAATGACCCTCAGTGCCAAGAATAGACAATTATGTGTTGCCCTCCACCGGCAAGTGGTGGCGTCTCCATATGAGTGAAAAAATGGACGCTTAACAACAAACAATTAATCAATCAAAGAAAACACCAAATACTAAAATTATCATATTTATTATATGAAACTAAACATTACTAAATTGATCTTACATTGACTGAATGCAACCAATTATGTTTTCCAAAGCTTTACGTTTAGTTTCGTCTTTTTAGTTTGTGGGTCTATCAGTCTTTTGATATCGCAGGCAAAATCCTTAATATATCAAATATAAGAAATATCAAAACAAATGCTAGAATATATTACATTGGTGGTAAAATTT